CACAGAGTTTTCGGAAATATTACAAAGGTTCATTATTTTCTCTCATCTGTCTCCATGGCTTACTCAGACTGAGGAGGACCGCAAGAATATTCTGCGTCTGCAGGATCTGGTTGACAAACTCCAGCTCAAAGTCAAAGCCTACAAGAGAGCTGCAGAGGAGGCTGTGAGTTTATTCCTAACAAAGTTGTCTCTAACTTTGATTTTTTCCTCTTTCTTTTAACCTAAATATTCCTTCCCATACATATACTTTAAGTTTTCGCAGTTTTAAACATAGCTGCTCGATACATAAAATATCATATTTTTGCTGCAACACAAACATTTTGGCTACATCTGTGCCGACACCTTTTATTTTACGATCATGTGGCTTCAAGAAACGTCGACTCCCCCATGCCTCTTAATATTGTGGACTGCGTTGTTTTTGAATCCTGTAGGAAGAGCAGGCCAATACTCACCTGAGCAAGTTCCGTAAACTGCAGCACGAGCTGGACGAGGCTGAAGAGAGAGCTGATATTGCTGAGTCTCAGGTCAACAAGCTGCGTGCCAAGAGTCGTGACGTGGGCTCTAAGGTAAGCGGCTTCTCTAGTTTTCCACCCCTGTTATGATGTTCACGATAACTCACCGCGTCATTATCAGTTCAACACAATTAATTTCAAGTTGTTTTTATTCTGCAATCTGTAAAATGGCTCATTAAAAAAGGACAAAATAAACACATTCGAAGCGATGCTTTAAAAATCCATTTATTTTGAGTTGTATGGTTTGTTTTAGTGGCATTTACATTAGTGGTTGGTTAGTGGTGCAAGTTTATTTTATTAGTGTTATTATTATTTTATCATCTCACAGAAGCCTTCTTCATTTGTCTCATTCAGGTGACAGTTTTCACTAAAAATATGTAGTTTTACATATTTGTTTTTTTACGAAGCTAAAAAATAAAAAACATAACAGTATATGAGTCATAAAAAGAGCAGAGGTTGGATGTAACAAACAGCTTTAAGCTTTCTCCTGCCATCCACTAAATATATGTATAGTTCTTTTTAAAGACCTCGTGATTAATTTGTGTGTTTGTATATTTCCAGCTTTTGGACAGAT